ATGCCCTGGAAGGGTTTGAAAACCCAGATGGAACTTTTGTCTCTCCAGTGATGAGCCTTCATAACCTGGTTCACTCTTTCTTGAATGGAACCAGTGCTCTTCCTCATGCAGCAGCCAATGATCCAATTTTTGTGGTAAGTCATTTTTCTAATGCAGGGGTGTCAAACCCATCTGGCCCCATGCACTGGAGGAGAGGCATGGGGGCTGGTCTGTGGGCTGGATTGGACCCACAGATTGGCCCTGTATGCTGATTCAGTGTTCTGGAGTGGCTGGAGTGGTTTCCACATGTGGCATGTGGGGAAAACAGTGGATGTAATATATCTTGTTTCTAGCAAGGCACCTGACACTATGACATTCTTATCAACAAGCTAAGGAATGTGGACTAGATGAAAGTGCTGTAAAGGTGGCTATATAACTGATTGGATCATCACACTCAAACAGCAGTCATTGGTAGGAGGAGGAATCAAGTTGGGTTCCCCAGGGGTCTGGCCTGGACCCCAGGGTCTGTGGCAAGGTTCATGGAGCTGCTGCAGGGCTATGCTGCATGCGGTGGCTGCTCTGCTGCTCCAGAGCATAAGCTTGAGTGGGTGCCATGCATGGCATGTGGGGGCCATCTGGTGTGTCCCACATGCTGCCTTTGGATCAATTCCAAGACCCATGGCCAGCACTGGGGGCCATATCTTTGACACCCCTTTCCTACGGTGATTGTAAATGAATGTGCCTCAATGCCCCAGCAGGGCTTTGCAGGCCTGCAGTAGTGAAATGATTTAGTCTGAGTCAATAGCTTATTTGATTGCTCATGGGGACATCTAACTTTCTGAGGCCTAAGGGAAGGGTAGTCATATAATTTAGTAAACTGGAAGATAGCAAACAGCAGTGAACAAAGCTTAATATAGTTAGCTGAGCCTGCTATACATTTTCCTTTCTCATAGACACTTGCTAAAGTCTACTTGCTTTTGTAGATTAAACCATAATTATTGGATAAAGACATTCCACCTGTATTCTTTTCTTCCTTAGCCTTATTGTAAGCTTGTACTCCATTATTGTAGGTATTATCTCAAATAATCAGGTAGTAGCACTCTCATTTATTTCCTTCAGAGCTTTTGTATCCTTCAGCGTGGCACCTTTCTGATTCTTAAGCCTCTTTGAAGACCAATCTAGCTTTCTAATGACTGGAAGTCATTAATGAGCTGCAATCAGTAGTTCAGATGCATGCTGAAATAAGATGCCTGCTGGCAAACAGTTTTTTTTTAAATAAGAAAAAAGGAAAAAAAAAAAGGAAGGAGTGGGGGAAACCAGGGGACAGATAATACCTTACCTCTGTTTGGTCATTGTATTTATTTTGTAGGGTATTTTCCATGGGGTAGTTTGTGGGCCAAATATTTTGAAGAGTACAGTGAACAATTCAGTAGTGGGGAATCTTACTACCATTTTGGTATGCAATAAGTGTATGAAATGGGCTTGAGTATAATATTCTCTAACAAGCGTTCTAGGGTACAAACAGCAAGTTGCTGGAAATAAAGATGCAATCAAATTCAGAGACGATATGTACTGCAGTGAAACTAACATGTTATCACGTGGAAGTACTAGAGTCCAGTTCAATCCAGTTTACCATTCATGTTAAGGTGCTAGAAGGGAGGCAAGAGTATAGAATAGCTAGATCCTGATCTTGCAAACCAGAATGACTTCTCATACCCATTTCCAAAATCAGCATTTTAAACGTGTCCATAGAAGCAAAGTCTAGAGATCTATCTCCCTGGACACTTAAATATATAATCAAAGATATTTATACAAAGATAGTTGAATCTTACTGTGGTATTTGAATGTCATCTTTAGCCTTACATTGCTCATAACATGATCCAAAATAGAGAAAAGCCAGGATGTTCCTTAAAGCAGGCACTGTGTGCTCCTTTATGTTTAGATAGTACCTGGCACATTTACAACACAGCCATAGTCTAAGTCAGCTTAAGTTGATTTTTCTTAAACATGAAGAAGAGAACCTATTTTGAATCTCTGGCCATTTTCTCAGATACTTAAAAGTATACATAATACAATTTATAAACTTCCTCCTGTCCTGTTTTCCTTCATTAAACTCACTGTGAAAGCTTAAGAAAATAGATGAGGTGTAAAAGAATATATTCAAGAATCAACCTTACTAGAAAATGTTCTGCCACCTCTCCTGTCCTTCTAAGCCTTTGAGTTTAGGGATCATGTGTCTTCCCTGATTATAATAATGGCACCTTCATAAGAAGCTGTCTCTAAGGTATTTGGGTCCTAAACTACCTACAGTTTTGTTAAACTCAAACCAACCTTTTAAACTTCACTAGGGAACTGTGTGTCAGGCAGTGTAGTCTATGGAACACTGGCTTAATGACTTTTCATCATTAAGTACTGTTTAATGAGTGAATAGCTGCATTCTGCATTGGTGTAACTAGCTGAGTAGGTGGCCTTATGTAGAGCCCATTACAGTAATCCAAACCTTGAGGTGACAAAAGTACAGATAAATATAACAAGAGTTGCATCTGAAGGAGCAAGTTACCACCTTGTTACCAAATGTCTTAATATCAGCCCTAACCCTATTCAGATCACCCAAAAGCTGCCAGGGACAAAACAATCCTCTAAGCCAGTGGTTCTGAACTGGGGGTACATGTACCCCCAGGGGGTACATGAAGCCTCATCAGGGGGTACATGAAATATATTTCATGCATTGAAATAGGTCAAAGGGCCTAAAAAAAGACTTGACAAATTGCCGGGGTTCTACTGCCATAAAACGTGCATGTGCGTGGAAACCAGATATCCTATTCCTGTTCCATGCCTCAACCTTGCACTGGAAATGTCGCTCCTAGGGGGTACAGGAAATCTCACTCTGAGACCAAGGGGTACGTAGACTGAAAAAGGTTCAGAACCACTGCTGTAAACTAACTAATCTTAAGGAAATTAATAATTTGTGTTAGGCAGAATGGGGCCAAAATGTGTTTACAGTTCTTTAATGATCTTTCCTGTGGTGGACAGCAAGATGATCCCTTCGTAATTTCCAAAAGATTGTCACACTCCCTAAGGTCATCTGGGATTTCCTAATCATTCCAAATCCTTAAGTTGAGGACATGGAGCTGTGATATGAGCTTCTCTACCCTTTGTTTGAAGATTTCAGTGGGGATTCCATCAGTTCCAGATGCTTGGTATTCTTCACCTGCTTGATGGCTTTCCTCACCTCATCAAGGGTTGAAGGGATTCCAAGATCATCTCTGACTGGGTGTTGTTGGATGGAGTTGAGAATGCTCTTATCAGCAACAGAATCTTGATTGACAAGATCTTCAAAATGCTCCTTCCAACAGAATTGGTTGCTTCTCTTTCTTTGATCAGGTCTCCTCCATCCTTAGGATGGTATGCGAACAGTGGTTCTCTGTAATGGATCTATCACAGATCCCTTTGAGGTTAAGATGGGAGCTAAGTGAGGCTGTGTCATTGCTCCAATATGCTTCTTGATATTCCTTACCGTGATGCTACATTAGATCACCAACAAGCTTCAAGTCAGAATGGAGCTAAACTATTGAATAAATGGTAAACTGTTTAATCTCAGCTGACTGTGAGCCAAAACCAAGACCACCCCAATCTCAATCATCGAACTTCAGTATGCTGATGACACTGCAGTCTGTGCTTACTCAGAAGCAGACCTTCAGGCAATTGTTGACATCTTGTTGAAGGCATATGAGAAAACGGGACTGACGCTTAACATTCAGAAGACTAAAGTTCTCTATCAACAAGTTCTTAATTAGCAATCACCAGCTCTAGTAATTCAGATTCATGGTGAGACTCTGGAGGAAGTTGAATATTTCCTGTACCTTAGAAGCCATCTCTCACAGAAGGCTGACATCAACAAAGTAATCCAATGTTGCCTCAAATGTGCAAATTCAGTCTTTGGACACCTGAGGAAATAGGTATTCAAAGAACATGACATCCAATCCAAAACCAAGCTCATGGTTTATAAAGCAATTGTGATCCCTACCTTACTGTACAAAGCTGAGATGTGGACAGTGTACAGGAGACACCTCAAGTCATTGGAGAAGTACTGTCAATGTGACTGTGGAAGATGCTTCAAATCCAGTGGGAAGATAGGTACACCAAAGTTAGTGGATTCTCATAAGCAACCACCACAAGCATCAAGGCGATGATCATCTGACACCAACTTTGCTGGGTCGGCCGTGTCATCCAGATGTCTGACTCTAGACTCGTGAAGCAAGTTTTATTCACCCAGCTCAGTCAAGGTGGATGTTCAAGAGGAGGGAAAAGAAAGCTTTTCAAGGACTCCCTCAAGGCCAACTTGAAAAAAATGCAACACTGAGTCAACTCATGGAAAATTATCACTCAGGACCACTGCAAATGGAGGAAGACCCGGATGATCTCCATCCACGGCTGCTGAAAGAATTGGCCAGTGTCATAGCTGAGCTGCTGGCACAGCTGTTCATGCACTCGTGGTGCTCCGGCCAGGTCCCTGAGGACTGGAGAAGGGCCAATGAGGTGCCCATTTTCAAGAAAGGGAGAAGGGATGAGCTGGGTAACTTTACACCAGTCAGTCTTACCTCTGTTCCTGGGAAACTGCTAGAGAAAATAATCAAAGAACACACTTGTGCAGGCCCAGCAGGGGAAATGATGCTGAGGCGAAACCAGCATGGGTTTGTCACAGGTAGATCCTGCCTGACAAACCTTGTAGCCTTCT